TGAGGTATCTCCATCACTTTAGGTTATGGTTGTGTTGAAACATTTAGGCTTTGCATTTTTGAGCCATTGATAGTCACATCACTGGAGACCTAGATACAGAATTCACAAGTACCAAGTACTGATGTTTTTATTAAATCGGGGTGTTATATTCTTGTTTCCTAATGAACATTAAGATGATGACCCAAGACATACCACTAGAAACTGCTCTGCAGATGGAATAATGGATGGAATCCTGTACTGAGAGATGTTTAAACTTTGCTACTGATTTCATACAGTCAAGATCTTGCCAGGGTTTTAGTCTTAGAAGGCCTTCAAGTCCTCATGTTCTACTGTCATTAAAAAATGGAGTAGGTACATTAGTTTGGGCATTTTAGAAAATCCAATATATGTAATCATTCTAACATAGTTAGTCCTTTAATGTTCAGTGGACAGTGCAATTGCCTCCTTTCTTGCTGAAAGGGTAGGGTAGTATTTTTGATGTGGAAGGACAGACATAGTTTGAGAACACTGGATACTTCAGAATATCAAGGGTTTTTTATACATACTGATTATATTTCATGAAGGATATTTTAATAGTGCATCCAACTTTTGTTTGGTGCCCTGAAATGCCCCCCCCCTTTTCTTTTTGTCACATGGAAATCTGGGCCTAAGTTCTTCTAATGTTTGCATAGCATTTTAACAGTGTGAGAGTAAGCCAGTTGCCATTTTTTTGCCATACACAATGTTAATTATTTCCTGTACAGGCTGTGTTTTAGCTTGGAACCTCCAGGTTAAGGACTGGGGATGAATTCCAAACCTTATTAGTAAAACTCTGTTTCTCTCCAGGTATTACTGATTCTTTGTAAGTCATTTTTTTAATGTCCTGTACAGAAGCCACAAGACTGCACACTTCTGTATCTCAAAAACACAAGGTTGAGGAGCAAGAAGCTTAACTTCTCATATAATATGGGCCAAACAGGGCTAAGTGCAAGCAGCACAGTATGTTACAAGGGTTACAAGCCCATTCCCTGTAGTGTGATTACTAGTGAATTATGAATAGATCCAGTGGCATTGGTCCCACCTGCTTTTAAGCTAAATGAGGAGAAGGGTAGCTCGGTAGTATTTCAGTATAGTTCATCTTTCTGGCTCTGAAACCCAAGCCATAACTTTTAAAAAAATTATTATCTTTTTTTTATTATTATTCTTGGCAGTTATATGTCTATTGGCCTCAGAAATAATTGCTGTTCACTGTCATTACATGCTGTTCCTCAGAATGCCATTATGGCTTTGGGGATGCTGAGCTTCTGCTTGGACTCACGTGAAGATGTAGGTGAAGTGGGACCATTGCACCACTGACCTTTGGTGTTTGATTTAGCCTTGCTGTAGAGCCTGCGGAGAGAAGTGCTCAGAATTTTTCCAGGCCTAAGTTAAGTTCTTCTCCTGGAAGCACAGTTACACAACGTGGTACAGCTGAACAACATAACCATAACCTGAGTTGCCCTCTGGAAGGAAATTTGCTTTCTTCTCTAGCCTCTTAGTTTAAGTATAAAATTAGATGCCAGTACTGGATAGATGACATGATTATTTTGCAGCATGATAAAAGAGCAAGGAATGCATATTTAGAAAACAATTTTCTTAAGCACTGACTTACCTTTAAAGCACTTGATAACACTGGCTCTTTGAAAATAGCAAATTTCCCCAGGGCATTTCCTGTTTTGATTTGAGCTCATCCATTTTTAAGCTTAGATTTTATTAGTATTTTGGGCTGAACAGTGGATATGCTGTAGGAAAAACAGAAGTTAGAGTTTCTTAATATGCAGCAAACATCTGCTCTGCAAAGAATAGGACCTTCTTGAGAAGCCTGTCTTTGTGTCGTGTCGTCAGGCTACATTGCTCTTTGCAGGCATTGAACACTTGCACAGTCTCCTTTCCTAAAAGTGGACAAGCAGGTCTAAGAGATGATGAAAACTGATGATAGTTTAAATTGCCTCTCAGTGTTTAAACACATTTTAATACAATTGTTTTCAGCCAGGCCAGCAAGATGACCAAACAGGTGCTAGGGTCAGCAGAAAAGCAAGGGGAAAAGCTGTGATGGTGGCAGAAGGGCAGAGCTGCTTCTCTGCTGGTAGGTGCTTCGACAGGCTAAATTGCTTGTGAAATCACATCTTTGCAGTCCTTAAGCAAGGAGGCAAATATGCAGATAGCTGTCAGGAATGCAGCCTAATAGAGTTGCCCTTGGACCTATCCTCACTTGCACAGTTAGAGGTGATATGTCTAAATGTGGTTCATCATGCAGTTCTTTCTTTGATACTGTCCTGCCCTGTGTTGTCACAACATACTCCAGCCAAAGATAAACAGTTTTGAAACAAGCCAGGCTTCCTCACTAAGAGTTTGATCACAACTGCTATCTGAAGAAACTGAAAGGTTTTTCCTGCAAAAGATGACTACTGCCAAGCACTGGCTGATCTGATCTTCTGTACCCCAAAGTGAACCCCATTTTGTGAAAGCAGAGGTGTAAAAAACTAAATTCTGTTATTAGTTATTCCTTTTTGTGCATCTGCTTTCCATTTGCTATTTCAATTGGTTATAGGATACTGCCTTTCCAGTGAGACCTGCTTCGGTAGTGCTAGTGTGTACTGCTTTCATGTGGGGGCACTGAAAAATAGACTCTTGTTCCTGTATATACATTTGATGTATACAGATTTAGAAAGTGCCATAAGATTCTTCTGGGTGCATGCCACTGTGTAAAATAAAGATAACCATTCTAAAAGTAAAAAGTTAGAAAATGACTCACTTCTGAGTGGGTGACTCATGGTCTCAGGGAATTAATTACCCAAGATAAGGGAATCAGAAATAGATTCTATGGTATTGTTATTGTTTTAGCCAGATGGTTATTGCTGATGAAAATAAAACACAAGATTTGATTTCAGGTGTAACAATATAGCTATCCCCTGCAAATTATGCCACAGTGCTGTTTGACGTGTTCTACACATGCCAGATTTGTTTATCTGATGTTTTGTTTTTGTTTTTAGGTGGATGGTATAGGTAGCTACAAGGAACCTAAAGCAGCTTGGAACATGTCCAAGAATCTCAGCAGCAAATTTGGAAAAAGGAAATTTAATGTGGTACGTATTTATTTGCTTTGAGGAACTGTAAGCACTGATTTATCAAGATCTTGTCACAAGAGCATTCTTACTCACAAACATTTCACCCCAGAATTCTCAATGAGTTATCTGTTGGATGTTTTTGAGAACACTGACATGGGGAAGACAGGAAGATCCATCCCACCTCTGCTTGTGATGTGTCTGTAGTACCTTGGTAAAATTCCTTTTATGGAGGCAGCCAGTATTATATCAATAAGAAGATAAATGCCTCAAGAGATTTGTGCTTTATATAGTTATTTTGGTGTAACTTATTCCGGAGGATCTGAGAGACAGTGGAGTTGAATCCTACATTTACTAATGATAAGCTGTATGTCTGAACAAATAACTTCAAATTTTTCTTTCCTTAGTCCACTATTTGATAATTTGCAATAATGCTTTCTACACTGTGGACTTCTGTGAAACTAAGTATGTTGGCTATTATTGGCTGCACACATTCTTGGTAGGTTCTGCTCATAGAGCTTTCAAATTATTTCTCAATTTTGATCAGTTTGCTTATTATCAGTTAGCTTAAAAATCCCTTTGCTTTTAATTTAGCCTCTAAATCATGACTTTGAACTACCTAGTAATAAAAAAATGATGGGATCACTGCTAGTGTTGTGCACTATCTGCCATGGCATGCACAAGAGTGTGAGCACAGTTCAGCACTGCCAGGCACTATTACCTGCCCTCTGAAAAGTGTGTCTGGTTGTTGAGCCCAGATCGCCTTTACTCCCTTCTCTCTCCTGTAGGTACTTTTCAGAACATTTCCTGGGAGTGCTACTTTGCTTCATCAAAGCAGAGAGAGGAGTTGAGGAGGAGTTGGCTTTATTCTTTTGCCCCAGCAAAATACAGTACTAGAGTTGCCATAACTGTGAAAACATAAAATAGATTTTAAAAAGAATCAGAACAATTGCAAAGGCTGTTGGCTGCAACTTTTTTTTTTTTTTTAATGATGCAGTTTTGAAGGTGATATCACAGGGCAGGTTTCATGTGATGAAACCAGATCTAATGCTGGTGCCTGCATATGATGGAAACTGAACGCAAAGCACGAACTTGGGAACGTTGGCCTCATATTAGGCAAGTCTGTTGCTCACCTTCCCCTTTTCCCTCAACTCCCTTTGTCCCTTTTCTTCCTCTACACAGTTAACTCATATCAGAGTTCAGTGTCACCAGTTGCAGGGAACTCGGTCTCACCTGGCTATACGTACCCTCTTCCCTAAAGAAGTCAGGTGTTGCCTGCAGGTTAGACATTCATCACACCATGAAAACAAGGAATGGTTTCATCACAGTACTGTTATTTTCAGTTGAGACAATTAAGAGGAAAATTTGGCAAGTTTTAGAGAAGCATTCATGTTTCTCTAACACAATTCTTACGCTGGTAGAAGGTAAAAGTTACTGAAATTCATTGCACGTAGACATACATCCTTATTCTAAAAGATAGGCTGTTTGCTCCTTTAGCTGAAAGTATTCCTTTGCTGAGAGAATGTCTAAGAAAACTGCTCTGAGTTTCTATTCTCTTGGTTTTGTTCAGCTCTAAATGTACTGGAGACCAGATCAAACAATGACTGACGTAGAGAATACCAGAAACTATGTCAAACAGGGACTTTAAACAGTGTGTTTTGAGGTCAGTAACCTAAGCACCTAGAACTTTGATCACACTGGTAACAACTGAATGACATAACCTTTGTGGCTGTACGTGTAGAAGTAAATAGGTAGCTCTCACTGAATTTACCAAGAGAACAGCAAATCATTGGTGAAGTGAAAATGTATGTTTCTAATAGGCTTAGGGAGCTTCAACAGAGGATACTAATGCTGATGAATCAGCTTGAAATAGCAAGCAAGATTTTTTTTAAAACATAAGTGGGTCCTGTTTGCAACATGCAGCATGAAGGAGGAGTCTTTCCAAGGCCCTGCCATATCAAATGGAAGACAGCATGTTCTGTCTGATGAAATGTAAGTTTGACTGCTAATCAAACAATCCATTGCTAGATTAATAGCCAATTTGCTGAGAATACAGTTCTAGGAGATCTGAAACTGTTGTTTGATTCTTTGATTTGTTGAGGGGAAAAAAAAAGGATTTTTTAAAAACAAACCAATATACTTTAATGATGTTGTCAAACAACATTATTTTAGTTTATTACTTCCGTACTGATCCTGCCTAGGTAAACAGCTTAAAAATCGGAGTGTTTCTAGAATAAGATAACTACATTTTCCTGTTTTTTGGAGGGGATTTCATCTCCTTTCTGAGTCAAACTTCTTTAATACTGGTTTTAGTTTGGAGGTGAGGGGCAGTAGCAGATCCATTCTCAGTTCGCTAATTATTTGCTTTCGTTTATGACATTGTTGCTTCTGTTTCTTTCAATGGGAGGTGAGAAGAGCAGTTATTCACAGTTTGTGAAGTGTCTGAAGATCTGTGGGTACAGAATGCTACATAAATGCAAAGTATTTATATTCAGAACTATGTTATGTCTTCTTTTTTCCATATGTCAGTCTGTGCTGTGACTAGAATCAATCTGCTCATAATCAGACGTATACTAAATTGGTAAAGATGAGGTTTTTGTTTGTTTATTTTTACTATAGACTCTCTAATCCACTGAAACTAAGATTCCAGCCTGCTTTTTCTCTGCAAGGGAGAGATCTCAGAAAAGTTTTATTAAATATTTTACACTGATTAAGAAGTCCTTAGTGATCCTATAAAAGCAGTTACTGCTGATTGCATTTGCTTCAAAATGTGGGAATTGAGCTCTAAAATCACACTGGATTGTGCATACGTTACTTTACATGTGCTGAGAGGATTTAAGAACTCAAAAGGAGCAAAATAAGGAGGTCATAAAAGAGACAATTTCTCTGGGTATAGGATTTTATCAGACTTTCAGATTATCAGACTTCTCGTGTGCCTATGAATGTAGACTCTATCATATAATTAGGATGATTTTATGTTTAAAGAGGTGAGAAAAAAGATTTTTGTATTCCTCAGGCATTGTTCAAGTTGAGAGCAAATCTTACTACCGAGTCTCTTGGGGAAGAAGCTACCCACAAAGCATTACAGACCCAGTCTTTGGGGTAGTTTAAAGAATAACTTGGGAAGTGTTGCCCTTGCAGTGTTTACTGGGATCTTTTTATCAGTTGTGATCCTTGACCTTTGATGCCTCGTAACAACTGCAGTTGTTATTTCCTCATATCTTCACCTATATTTCCCTTTCTGGCTTGTGTGCATTCCTTTCTTTTATTTTCTTCCAAGAGGAAGTGGAATGGAGATAAGGGATATATGTATCCTTTGAGTCTTTGGTATTTGAGAATGCTTTATAAATTAAGAAAAAACAAATCCATCAGTGCTTGCTACTCTTTGAGCAGTTAGACAAGAAGTATCTGAGACAGAGGTGTTAGCCACAGATGTGTTAGCCCTATTGGTTTGTTTTCCAATTGCTATACAGAGGTTTTTTAAATGAACAAGTGTCAGTTTTTTCCTGGTGTAGAGGAGGTACATGATGCTTTTGTTTTATTTTCCCTTCTGCTAAATGGTTGACACTAAAACTGATTCTGCAATTTCTTTATCTGATGCCCATGACAAAATTGAGGATGAATATAACAGTTTTGGCTGGCAGTGCTCAATGGAGAAGTTCAATTTATCCTTCTTAGGCTAAGAGGGATTAATGTGTAGCATTAGGACCTTATGTGGGAATGTTGAAAGACACTTGCATTGGTTTCATCAAGCTCAGTCATATGTGGGCAGGATGTTCTTGTAGCATGTTGTACTCAGCGTAGATGTTGCTTAGACCTTTTCATATTGGATATTGATTTCCAATGAGGAGACAGGCATCTATGATTATAATTCTGTTTTTCATTTTTCTTGAATACATAGTTCATATTGACCTTGTGAAAACCTGAAATCTCTACACTGCCCTCTTAAGCAAAACAAAATTAACTGCATAGAACAGATTATTCACTGTAATATTTACTCTGAAAGGTCACCAATCCCAGAAATATCAGAGAATGTAACTATCAAACCAACCTGACATTAGCATAATGTTTTTTATTTTCTTTGTTTCTTTGGTTACTAGATAGCTGCAGCCTTCTGGAGCAAACTTGTTGTTTACAGCACAGCCCCTTCCTACACAGGACTATAGTTTTCAGTAAACATGGACTTTAAAATGATGTTTTTAGAGTCTAGCATTTATGGAGTTTGTTATGTGATTTTAACCTAATCTCACAAGGACAGATTAAATGTTTGGGTTTTTTTTAGGATCAAAAACCTAAAAAGCACCTTTTGTTTATTTATCAAAGCACCTTGTATGGTTCAAATATTGAAGTTTTACCTCTGGAGTCAGTTGTGCTACTTGGACTGTGCTGAAATACTGCTTTCAGAAATGCACTTCCCTGCTGATACTGAAGGTGTTTGAGAAGTGCCAAAGGGGCAGTTTGTTTTTCTGTTGCACTGATCCCCATCTGTGGACTAGTTTGGAAGGGGAAAAATGAGTTTCTGCAGCCTTTCTGCTCTCTAATGGGTACTGCGTGTTCCCTGCTGGGTTAGGAGAGTAGCCCAGTGCTGTCCAGATTGGAAGTGTGTTAGATTCCTAGGCAGACTACATTACCTTTTATTTCTCTTCTACATATAGGCATAGCAAAGTCTGGTCCTCTGTTTTTTCTACTTCCTTAGACATTAATATGCATGGAAATTTTGTGCCAGTATCTCAAGTCTGGGAATGCAGACCAATGTAAGAGAAAATCTCAGTGCATCTGAATGTTGGTGGGAGAACCAGTTTCTTCTCCTGCTCTTCCTCTTGCCCAGCTCTGGCAGAGGGCGAGTGGGGTTTCTAACTCCATTGTTGTCTTTCAAACTGCTTGTTTTGAAACTGTCGCCTCCCTGCTGAGAGGTTTTTGAAGCACCATATAAAAATGCTGAGCTGAAAAAGAGGTCAGGTTGTTCAGCCAGGCCCAGCCAGTGTGCCTGGACCTAGACAAGCATAATTGGCTATGAGGGAGCAGTCAGAGAGCAAAGGCTTTTGTTTTCTCTACCAAATGCTCTGCCACTTGTTGCAATCACTTTTTATCATGATGGACAATGTTTCTCAATCAGTGGGATGTGAGCTCAGATGTTTGCCAATTACCTTTATGTATTTAAGTTTGGTAATTAAGGATAAGGAGCAGTGTATTGAGCCAAGCACTAAAATACCAGAGGTGAAGTGGATTAGCTGACGGGGGCAAAGGAGAGTGTATATATTTAATATAAAGCAAGATTTTTAGCTTTTGCACACTTGAGAGTTTAGATCCATACTTGGGTTTTGCTTATTAAGAACTGCAGTGTAGGAACTATGGCATGGGAAAGGTGAGCCATCTCCAGCATCTACTTTATCTTTGCTGTCTTGTACTCCTCAGGAGTAACCAAGGACTAGTTTTTAAAAAAATGTGTATTAGTTTGGGGAGTTATATTAAAAATATCCGAACTAATGCATTGAGGCTTTGTTGTCCATAAGAGAGAAGCACCAAGAGCTTGTCAGGGATCAGTTAAAGCTGGGGAGAATCAACATGCCCTTTAACTAAGTAGCCGTTGTTTAGCTGGGCGCGCACAAGCTGTTGTGTTGGAGAGAAGGCTTGAGAAGACAAAGGTTCTTGCTGCTCTGTGCCTGCTACCTGCCTTTTTATTTTCAACTGAGATGAAAGAGAGCAAGGGCAACACTAGCCTCATCTCAGATCGGCCTGCAAGTAATTTGGAAACCACTTTGGCCGGTGGAAAGTCTGGCTGCGTGACTGAAAGGAGCCCTCACCAAGAGGCGGGTGGGGAGGGCAGGACCTGATGGTATCAATATAGTTCTCTATAGCCTCAGTCTGGCAAAGATTTAGACCCATAACTGAATTATGGGTCCCTTCAGTTCCTCAGTAAATTTTTCTCATCCATAGGGGAGTGCTCAGGTCCCCTTGTGAAAGCTGGCATTGCCCTTCCCAGTTCAGATGCTACTTAGTTTGTGAGCTGCTGTGCCCCAGTTGATCTACCCATCTGTTATTTGTCATTATATATTTATGCTTGGCTGGTGGTTTTCTGCCCCCGCAATTTCAAATAGGGGGGCAATTTCAAATTCATTAAAACCTGGTTTGAACATGTGTGTCTACAGAAGGCCCTGCATGCACAAAAGAAAAAAAATATTAGAACAAAAATAAGGGAGAAATACAAGACTCAGATTTGACACTTTGATGCATGTGATACTTTTGATTGGTTTTAGCTATATTTGTGTATTTTTTTTCCAGTGAACGTACTTAGTATTTTTATGTGAATTTATTAAGCAGTACTATATTTGCTTTATTTTCTGAGGGGAAAAATGAATGAGAGCTAGTAATACTTTCCTGTAATATGGAAAAAAGAATAAAAACAGAAGTAATCTGAATGGAAATATAACCAGGAATGGCAGGGAGCCAGAAATCCCCATAACATAAATCTGCAAGCATCTGTAATGGAAGACTGTTTGTTATGCTCTTTGCATTGCATAACCCAGTTGGTGTAATTTCCAAGTATGTGCATGCTCCTTATTATCACTTCTTTCCATAATATGGCCAAAGCTTTGTAGCTATCTGGATTTGGGATGGAATCACTGCACAGATGCCCTGTAGCATATTCTTGATTCTTGGATAATGGTTTTACATGTGGACCGCACCTGTTTGGTGCTTATTTTAGCTTTGCCTTAGACTAGAGATGAAAAAACCCAGAGAATTGGGGAGTGGGTGGGAGGTGGGGGGGAGTCTTGAGCATTTTGGGGCAGGTTGCCTGACAAAATTGCACCTGGGCTTATCTTCAAGTTCAGTGAAGGAACTTCTGTGTAAGGGCTGAAGTGCGGTGCTTTTGATCCTATAGGAGAGCATCTTAGCCACAGCCTAGTCATTAGTTTGATGAGGCTGACTCATGGAGTGAGACTGTTACAGCCTGGCATTGTGTACTTATAAAAAACGATAATAACAATAAT